CCCGAGGTCAGATCGTCCTTATTGTGGAGTTGGACGAAACTCCTCGCCAAAGAAGATCCTAGCAGATTTTGTGGTGGTTGACTTGCCATCCAATTATAATGCAATATTGGGACGACCCATTTTTGCACGAGCTAAAAGCTGCCACATCAATTTATCATTATTGCATGAAATTTCCCACTCCTTACGAGACAGGAATTATCCGAGGAGATCAAGCTGCTGCAAGGGCCTGCAATGTCGACTTGCCAAGGCCACAAGACAACATGCTAAGGGCCAGGACAAACATGCAAGCCGGGGAAGCCAGATTGAAGATACCAATCATTGCGGATCTTTCGAAGATTGGCATAACTGAGAAGAATCTCAAAAAAGCCACAGATGAGCAACTGTCCTTTGACGAGAAGGAGGTGGACCCACATCCTTACCCTGGAGTTCTGGTAATCTCGTTGCCTGTGGCCGAGGTAACTATCCCCAAAGTCTTGGTGGATACAAGAGGCGCTTTGAACATCCTATTCAGTAACACCCTTAAATGGATGTGTATCCTTGCTAACTTCCTTCGACCATTCCCAAATATGGTCCTAGGATTAAGTGGAGCCTTAACTTCTGCTAAAGGATCGATCAAACTCAAAGTTGAGTTAGGATCAGCACCTCGACAGGTGAAGACGAACTCCGAGTTCGTGGTATTCGACACTCCCTCCCCTTATGATGCTGTGATGGGACAACCCCTACTCTTTAGCTTGAGAGCAGTAGTTTCCCCATATTACTATTCTATCAAATTCCCACACCCCATGGTGTGGGTGAAGTCAAAGAAAACTGAGAGCTCGCCGAAAGATGTCAATGGAAAGCCTGTACCAGCCATCAACGCAATCCCCCGGGAGTGCATATGGTGAACATATGGGAATCTAAACTCATTCCACTAGATCTACGGACCAGGATCGAAGGTGGAAAACCCGTTGAAGAACTAGAAGGAGTTCAAGTCTATGCCAAGGACCCAATAAAGGAGCTCAAAGTCAGGCGCAAGCTGCAGCCCTCCACTCGAAGCGAGATTGTGGCCTTCCTTAGACAAAACCTTGATGTCTTCGCCTGGAATCACGGGGACATGAGAGGAATAGATCCCAATATCGCATGCCACATATTACAGGTGGATCCTTCAGTTCGGCCAAAGTAGCAAAAATGACGACATCGGAACCCTGAAAAATATGAAGCACTCAACAAGGAGGTGCAAAAACTGTTGCACAATGGTTTTCTCCGTGAGGGGAAATACCCGAAGTGGGTCGCAAATCCGGTCCTTGTGAAAAAACATAACGGAGATTGGAGGGTATGCATAGACTTCACCGATCTCAACAAAGCATGCCCCAAAGACAGTTTTCCTTTGTCAAGAACAGATCAAATGGTGGACGCCACTACCGCACACAAACTACTCAGGTTCATGGACGCGTATTCCGGATATAACCAGATACCGATGTACGGCCCAGATCAAGAACATACCTCATTTGTAATTGATCGAGGTCTTTACTGCTACAGAGTAATGCCATTTGGTCTCAAAAACGTTGGCGCCACCTACCAACGACTTGTGAATTCCATATTTTCCCAACAGATTGGAAAAACAATGGAAGTGTACGTTGATGATATGCTGGTCAAAAGCATCAAGGCCAAGGACCACTGTCAGCACCTGACTGAAATGTTTGATATACTGAGGAAGTATGGAATGAAGTTGAACCTAAGGAAATGTGCTTTCGGGGTCAGCTCTGGAAGGTTCCTAGGTTACATTGTAAACAACCGAGGAATTAAGGCAAATCCTGAAAAAATACAAGCTGTCATCCAAATGAAGCCTCCAACCAAACCCAGAGAGGTACAAAGTTTAACGGGAAGGGTTGCCACCATCAGTAGGTTCGTCTCCAAGTCTACGAACCGTTGCAAACCCTTCTTTGATACGTTACGAGGAGGAAAGAAGTTCGAATGGACCAAAAAATGTCAAGACACCTTTAACAAGCTAAAGAGACAACTAACTCAGCCTCCGTTGCTTTCAAAACCTAAGGAAGACGAGGTCCTAAAGCTTTATTTATCTGTTTCAGAGCATGCCATTAGTGTCGTTCTAACCCAAGAAGAAAACGGCGTTCAACACCCTGTCTATTACGTAAGCAAAGCGCTTCACGAAGCCAAGCTCAGATATTCGCCTGTAGAGAAATTGGCATTCATCCTGCTGATGGCAATTCGAAAACTGAGGCCATATTTCTTGGAACACCCCATTGAGGTCCTCACCAACTCTCCATTGAGGCAAACACTGCAAAGACCCGACACTTCAGGTCGGATGGTAAAATGGACAGTCGAGCTCGGACAATTCGACATCAAATACACGCCTCGTTCCTCCATCAAGGGCCAAGCACTTGTCGACTTTGTCTCTGAGTTCTGCAACGTCCCAATCGAGAAACTACAGAAAGCAACCAATCATACACAGCGACTCCCAACTAGTCGTGAATCAGGTCAATGGTGTATATATGGCGAAAGAAGAAAGAATGGACAACTACTTACGAGTTGTAAGGAAAGAACTTGAAAGGTTCAACACCACCCAAGTCAAACAAATTCCCCGATCTCAGAATGGTCACACCGACGTACTGGCCCGCTTAGCCACCAGTGAGGGAATCAAAGAGTTCGATAGCATCCCCATGGGAAGAATATCCCTATCGTCCACCGAGCTGGCCGAAGTGGTCCTTATGATGATAGACCCCAAACCAACCTGGCAGGATGAGATCATCGCCTACCTAAAAATCGGGAAATGTCCCGAAAACTCTGTAGAGGCTAGAAAGCTCCGAATCAGATCGACCAGGTACACACTCATAGACGATGTACTATAAAAACGGGGATATTCTACACCTTTGTTAATGGGTTTGAACGAAGAAGAAGCTCAGCACGCCCTGCAAGACTTTCATGAAGGAATATGTGGAAACCATTCAGGTGAGCTCTCACTAGCCCACAAGATCATACGACAAGGATACTTCTGACATACAATAAGATGTGATTCCCTTAAATTTGTCAAAAGATGCGACAAGTGCCAGCGCCTAGCCCCCATCATAAATACTCTACCGTGCGAATTGAATCCAGTAATAGCACCTTGGCCCTTTGCAAAATGGGGGGTCGACCTAATTTGACCTATGCCCATTGGAAAATGAGGTGTAAAATTCACCATCGTTGCAGTTGATTACTTCACCAAATGGGCCGAGGCAGAGCCACTTGAATAGATCACCGAACAAAAAACAACTGACTTTTTGTGAAAATCAATCATCTACAGATTCGACATACCTCACTCCATTGTTACGGACAATGGAAAACAGTTCGAAAATGCACGACTTTCAGATTTCTGTGAAGAGTTCGGCATCAAGAAACATTTCTCAACGCCGAACCATCCGTAGGCAAACGACCAAGTCGAAGCCATTAACAAGATTATTAAGCACACATTTAAAGAAAAACTTGACTTGTTTAAAGGAGAATGGGCCGAAGAACTCTCCAGTGTGCTATGGTCTTATCGCACCACTGCAAGGACTAGCACGGAGGAAACCCCGTTCTCACTGGCTTTCGGCGTAGAGGCTGTGATCCCGCTAGAAGTCAGCATTTCCTCGCTGCGCATAACTGATTACGACGAAGAAAGGAACCATATAGCTCTTCGTATGGAACTCGACCTAGTCGAGGAGAAAAGGAACAATGCCGAACTCAAAAATGCCGTTTACAAACAGCGGAATGCCAAGTACTACAATCAAAAAGTGCGAAAAAGAGAATTTGAGGTAGGATCCCTCGTCTTACGCAAGGTATTCTTCACTACAAGAGAGGTAGGCGGTGGATACTTGGGTCCGAATTGGGAATGTCCCTATCTAATAACGAAGGTCTTACTAAAAGGGGCATATGAACTGTAAGACTTGGGGGGTAGACCCTTACCCCATCCTTGGAATGTCAAACACCTTAAGTAGTACTATCAGTGAACGGGAAAAGTCCATGACACATAAAGCCCACTTGTAATGTCAACCGCATCAATAAAAATGGACTTCCTATTTTTGAACATTTTGCTCTACATTCAGTCGGAATCTTACAAAACCCTACTCCATACGCAGGTCGATCTAAGGTCATATGTGCTGCAACCCTTAGTGGAAATTCCTCCTAAGGAATTTTATAAAGCCCTGCTCCATACGCAGGCCGATCTAAGGTCGTAAGTGCTGTGATCCTTGGTAGAAATTCCTCCTAAGGAATCTTACGAAACCCTGCTCCATACGCAGGCCGATCTAAGGTCGTATGTGCTGCGACCCTTAGTGGAAATTCCTCTTAAGGAATCCAACAAAGCCTTACTCTATACGCAGGTTGATCTAAGGTCGTACGTGCTGCGACCCTTAGTGGAAATTCCTCTTAAGGAATCTTACAAAGCCATGTTCCATATGCAGGCCAATCTAAGGTCGTAAGTGCTGCGGCCCCTTAGTGGAAATTCCTCCTAAGGAATCTTACAAAGTCCTGCTCCATACGCAGGCTGATCTAAGGTCGTATGTACTGCGACTCTTAGTAGAAATTCCTCCTAAGGAATCTTACAAAGCCTTGCTCCATACATAGGCCGATCTAAGGTCGTACGTGCTGCGACCCTTAGTGAAAATTCCTCCTAAGGAATCCAACAAAGCCCTGCCTCTTACGCAAACCAATCTAAGGTTATTCTACGAAATTCCTCCTAAGGAATTCTACGAAATTACGCAGGCTGATCTAAGGTCGCATGTACTGCGACACTTAGACGAAATTCCTCCTAAGGAATTCTCAAAACCCTGCTCCATACGCAGGCCGAGCTAAGGCCGTATGTGGTACGACATTTAGTAGAAATTCTCAATCCATAAGCCTCGTTTGGAAAGCAAGTGCTGCACAACTAGGGAAAATTCATTCGAAGCAATTCTACATGCTACTATGACATTCATATAAATTTAGCTAAGCTTGTGAGGTATTGTCACATATAAACGAGATCGTTACTAAAGAAACCATACTGAGCATAAACAATCATCCATTCCAAACAAAATGCCATGAAACATCAAAACGAAATTCACTAATAAGCCAAAACATATTACAAAACTAAATACCACACAATGTTTTGAAAGAAAAAAAAACCTCCTAGGGGTCTTGGGGGGCTGGGGTACTACCCTCAACATCTTGGACAACCGATAATATTCGGACTCCAGCAGCCTCAGACAACTTCCGCAGCTCCTCCTTCTGCCCGTCCAACGCTTCATCCAGAAAGGCCACGTCAATGTCAGGCCTCTCCTTCCTGATGTGCCCCACCAGCTCCTCCAGTGCTACCACGTAGATGTCCTTGGCTACGACGTCAAACTCGGGGGATTTCTTCCAAGCCTCCACCGCTTTATCAGCCTTGGCTTCAGCCTCTTCAGCCCTTCTGGTGGCCTTCCTTGCCCTTTCGTTGGCCTCTTATACTTTCTGGATGGCCTCCCTGACCTTGCCATGCTCCTCAGCCCGAGCTCTGGCTTCTTCCTCTGAGGCCGTTAAGGCCTTGATCTTTCCCATCAGTTTTTCCTCGACATCGATCCTGGAGTTTAGCTCGATCCTCATCTGATTCAGCTTCTCTTCATACTCTCTCCTTCGAGCAAACTGGGCATTTTCAGCCTCCATGCTGTTATAAAGACTAAAGGACTGATCCTTTTCCTCTATAAGCTTGTCCAGCTCAGACTTCACATGTTTTTCAAAAATCAAAAATCAAGTAAGTCAATAAAATAGTTGCTAAAAAAAAAAAAAAAAACACCATAAAGTAAGAAGTTTACCTTGTCCGCCATTGCCATCATGTATAAAATTGATTGGTGACCATGGAGCTGAGCAGTGACCAAGGCCTCACCAATGGGCATCTCATTCAGATAGCCCCGCTCTCTCTCACCCAAGCTCCTAATAAGCAGATTAGCTAACTCTCTCGATGGTGAAGTGAGCGTGGTAGTCACCTCCTTAGAAGGAGAAGGAGCTCGGAGATAATCAAGAAATATCTTTGGTCGGTGTCCCACTAAACTCTCCAAGCTCGACCTCTGTTAATCTGGGCACCTCTCCTACGAGTTCACAGAATTGGTCCCGACAGCAAAGGGTGCAACTGGGGATGGCAAAGAAGGCGACGACAGAGTAGGAGACGAGCTCGATAAAGGCACAGCCTCAGGAATCTTCAGTGCAACCAGGGGCGCAGATCAGTTCCTCTTCAGTGGAACCTCCTCCTCCACCTTTTCAGAATGGCTCTCCGACCGTTCTGAGACATCTCTCTTTTTTCCTTTGACTGCAACCGCTGCCATTACTACCTTGTGCCCCGCATCTCGTCTTGATGAGCTGAGAAAATAGTGAAACGCTCAATATATATATACCACAACCGCGAATGAGGGTTAAAATATAACCTGAACTGGAAGGAGCCGAACTTGAAGCTCGTACTTGCACCAAGCCGACCCGGAATAAGTTCGGATCTAAGATCACAAACTTACAGGACCTTTGCCTTTTGGATAACGATCTTATTACCTTAGCTCGTCTCTGCGTATCTTTGGTTAACATCTCCTTCTTGTAATCTGCACAAAAGAAAAATACCGAGGTCAGTACTTCGTTAACATACGTCTTGCTAAAAGACTAAAGCCCAAAAACACTTACATAAAGAATGATAGAGCCTGGGGACCACATCCTCTCTATTCACCCCGGCAGAATGAAACTGCCACTCCCTCGATACATATAACCATTCTTCCTTCCATTTCTTAACTGAGGAAGGGGTGTCTAACACCAGAGAACCCCCTTTCCTGGGCATAACGCTTGTGTACCACCAACCCGAGTTCTTCCCATCCTCCTTAAAAGTAAACACAGAGTCGAACTGCTGGACACTAAGCTCGGGATTCCCCATTTGGTCCCATAGAATAAGGGCGACGATTAAGGTTCGCCACCCGTTAGGGCATAACTGTGTGGAGCTATGCCCTAGGAAGAAAGGAATTTACGAATTGCCCTAGGAAAGGGAAGTCTAAGGCCGGCCTGAAGGATAGCTGAGTTCAGAGCAACACATCCCTCAGGAAGAGTGTCAGCTCGGTCAAATGGTTCTGGTATTATCATCACTATCGAACTAGGGATAGCGTATTTAGCTCCCCAGCTGGCTAACATATCCCCTGTTACGACCGACCTGTACGAACTCGTCCCCCCTACTCTCCAGAATTACTCTCCTCAACATCCTTATTGGATCTACCCTCTCCCTTGGAACCCTAACATCCAAAGTCTATGACAAGAAATCCTAAGTCGATTGGGTTAATTATGGAAATAGGAATAGGGGTGAAAACTTCCCTACAACTAGAGGACGAACTCGTCGAAAGAGAAATTGACTCTTCCTGCTGGTTTCCCCAGGAATGAACTCTAGACTCTTCCGAACTCATGTATAAACTAGAAAACAAAGCACAAACTGAAAGGAGGAAGAAAAATAAGAACAGAAGAATACCTAGGAAATGAACTGGGAAAACGACCTTACTCGAAAATGGAAAAACGAACTCAGGAGATTGCACGAATATTTGAGAGAGAATAAACCAGTGAAATAGGAGGCGAAATTACTGGCCAAAAGGAATTTAAAGAAAGAAAAACTGAGAGGGCACGATCTGAACCGTCTATCCAGAAATGAGGGGAAAATCAACAGCTCAGAAGCTTGAGAGACCGAAACGACATAGTTTTAACCAAGTTTGCTGAAGAAGCTACTTACAAATACCGTACAGCTAATCCCCATCAAAAGATGACACTTGGTGCAGCAATAAATACACTTCTTGGAGAAAGCATCACTGAGGTCAGCCCCCCACTGCAGAACTGACCTGGGGGTAACTGTTGACAATCGAACTCCGATCTAAATTAAAACAGTTCGCTAACCCCACCTCAGGCAAATGGGAGTTCGGTTCCTATTCCTAGGTCGGACAATCCCGCCGTTATCTCAGAAAAACATCATGATTATCCCCTGTCACATCACCCTATCAATCAAATACACTTGCTGCAGGTGACATCATCGTCGGCCGAAACTACCAAACCTAAGTCCTAATCCTCAAGTCCCTTGCAGGTCATCATTACCTGGGAAAAACATTGACAGATGGCCATCGACCTCGTCGACCAATCACAGAAGAATTCAGCGACCCGAGTCCGAGCTCGGTACTGTTGCTGATTTGACTGATTTGATGTGATTTCGACTGAAATTATGTATAAATAGTTGAATAGGACTCTTGTAAAGGGCAATTGAATTCATATAACAACTCATGACACAATTACACTTTCTAAACACATTTTGTGGTCTTTTTTAACAATAAATCACCTTTTTTCTTAAAGTTGGATTAAGATTAACCTTGCTAATTTTGACATCAACAATTTCCATACAAAATTATATAAAAAAATAAAATTTACACTTCTTACCACTCTGCGCTTATGGAGTATATTGGTGACCAAGCGATATACCCATCTTAGGTCCTCTTATAATCCCGTAAGATTTCATCTCGCTTTTTATGGAATCCGAATGTCCACTGGCAATCTATGCCTATTTAATTGAATATAAAAGTATAAGGAAATGAAAACACTTGCACAAAAATATCTTAACTCGATAGATTCAAAAATACGATTGCAAGTTCGAGATAATGGTGAGTGTAATGCTTTGAAATAATTTCTAATGGATGAAAGGCTTCTTGTTTTTCTAGTAATTTGGGACGATTTATGTTGGAGACAATTAGTTTTGAAATCTGACTAATCTAATCCCTTTTTTATAGTGTGACTAGTTGACGAATCCTAATTAATGAAGAATTAGTTTTGAAGTTTATCATAATCAAACTAAGTTTGGATTGACTAAAAGAATTGTATTCATTATCAACAATCAATTTGCCACCACTTATCAATATAAATTGGATTATCTTCATAAAAGAATCCTCCAATAGAATTTTTAAAAAATACAAAGGAAAAATAAAAATAAAAATACGTGTAGTGATAAAAAATGACTGGGGATGAGGATAAATAAACCTAGTTTAGTTTAATCATGATTACAGTAACCTTTATCCTAAAATATTAGTTTATCTCTACCAACCTTATCCTAAAAATATGAGTTTATCTCTACCCAACACACTCACCTACAGTTGCCCATCTTTTCAAGTTAGCTTTGTTTATGGCTTCCATACTATTGTTCCCCGTAGGCCTCTTTGGAATAATATCATAGAGCTTGGGAGTCATTGCTCATTACCATGGTTGATTATGGGTGATTTTAATAATGTGCTTAAGTTTGATGAGAAGTGTAATGGAGCGGATGTTACACCAGATGAAATTAGAGACTGAGAATTGTTGTCTTAATGTCGGCCTCATGGATATCAAGTCTATTAGATGTTTTTACACGTGAACTGTAACACCTCAAATTTTCATAAACTTTGAGGTGTCACAAAAAACTCGTGTTTGTTTTAAATATGAAACGATAAAAATAGATTTCTTTAAAAATAAACTGCTAAAATATCCATAAATTTAAACAAAAGGCGGAAAATTATATCTTAACAAATATAAACATAATCGACTAACTTATTAAATAACATATGAATAAATTAAACTAATCAATGAATTTAAAGACAAAAAAATAAAAATTCAATACCTTTCCTTTTCGAATCCTCATGGTAGTCCGCATCACCATTCCGCCACAGTTCCAATCGATCCAAACTAACTTGAAAAATTATTGTAAAAGTATTCGAAAACACCTAGTAAGATACGTGCAGTTTCCATACACAATTATATAACAAATAAAATCTACATTTCATATCACTTTGCTCTTATAGAGTATAGTGATGACCAAGCGACATATCCATTTTAGTTCCTCTTATAATCCTGTAGGATTTCAACTCTCTTAGGTCTACTAGCAATCCATGCGTATTTAATTGAATATAAAAGCATAAGGAAATGAAAACACTTGCACAAAAATATCTTAACTCGATAGATTCAAAAATACGATTGCAAGTTCGAGATAATGGTGCGTGTAATGCTTTGAAATAATTTCTAATGGATGAAAGGCTTCTTGTTTTTCTAGTAATTTGGGACGATTTATGTTGGAGACAATTAGTTTTGAAATCTGACTAATCTAATCCCCTTTTTTATAGTGTGACTAGTTGACGAATCCTAAATAAAGAAGAATTAGTTTTGAAGTTTATCATAATCAAACTAAGTTTGGATTGACTAAAAGAATTGTATTCATTATCAACAATCAATTTGCCACCACTTATCAATATAAATTGGATTATCTTCATAAAAGAATCCTCCAATAGAATTTTTAAAAAATACAAAGGAAAAAAAAAATAAAAATACGTGTAGTGATAAAAAATGACTGGGGATGAGGACAAATAAACCTAGTTTAGTTTAATCATGATTACAGTAACCTTTATCCTAAAATATTAGTTTATCTCTACCAACCTTATCCTAAAAATATTAGTTTATCTCTATCCAACACACTCACCTGCGGTTGCCCATAGCAAAGTCAATGTTCTAGACTAATAAAAATTCTATCCATCCTTGTTTACTTCATATCCTATCTAACTTGACATTATCTTATCCAAAAAAAAAAAATTTCTTGTGACGAAAATTCCTAATTTATTACAAGCTTCAAAAAGAGCCTAATATTAGTATACTTAAACTCACTCTATCAAAATCTAATTATTTGTCCCAAAAAAGGAATTTAAAACCTATTTCATTTTAGTCCTTATGTTTTTCAAAATATAAAATTATAGCATATAAAACAAATAAATTCTTATTCTAAAATTTTCAGGGTATTACATGGACCAACACTATGGTAAGTAACAAAATTGATAGAGCCACGATTAATGATGTGTGGACACAATCAGGAATTCATAGCATTGCCGAATTCTTACCTTCCGGGTGTCTCTCGGATAACTCTCCTTGTATTGTTTCACTTTTGCAACAAGATGATAGCAAAGGAAAACCTTTTAGGTTTTTCAACATGTGGACTCATGATAATTTTCTCGACATTGTTCAAGATGGTTGGAACAAAGAGATTGTGGGAACTAAGCACTTTACTCTTTGTAAAAAGCTATAATGTCTTAAAGGACTACTTCGGAGGCTCAATGATAAGCACTTCTCACACATCTCCTATCAGGCTGAAACCGCATCTATAATTTTGAAAGAAGCAAAAGTGGAATTACAAGGTAAACCTACCAATGTTCATCTTCAATGTGAGGTGGCTACATTGAGGAAAGATGCCATGAATCTTGGTGAAGCGGAGAGAAGTTTTTACTACCAAAAAGCTATGTGTGCTTATCTAAAAAATAGTGATAAGTGTACTAAGTTTTTCCATTTGGTGGTAAAGAGAAATAATAAGAAGAACTACATTGCTACTATTTTGAAAAGGGATGGGACTTATACTTCTCATAAGGAAGTGGTGGATGAATTTACTTACTTTTATAGTGACTTGTTGGGGAAAAGTTGTTTTGTTCACCCTATTGAGGTTGACATTGTGAAGAATGGACCCCTGCTAATGGAAGAGCATGCTTCATCACTTATTCGCGAAATCTCATATAAAGAAATAAAGGAGGCTCTATTTAGTATTGGTGATGAAAAGTCGTCAAGGCCAGATGGATATACATCTTGCTTCTTTAAAAAGGCCTGGAACATAGTTGGATGTGAGTTTAAGAAGGCTATCAAAGACTTTTTCAAATCTTCCTCTCTTCTTAAACAAACTAATCATACAGTGATTGCCATGGTGCCTAAGACGAACTACTCATTTTCCGTTGGGGGCTATAGGCCGATTGCATGTTGTAATGTATTTCATAAGGGCAAAGATTCTTGATTCTCGATTGGGACCTATACTTGGATCAATTGTTGATTAAGCAGAAGCGGCATTTGTAGAGGAAAGAAGCATGACCGAGAACATTCAACTTGCGCAAGAGCTCTTGAGACAATATAATTGGAAAAGAGTTGCCCCAAGATACCTTATTAAAATTGATTTGAGGAAAGCATATGATTCGGTGAATTAGGACTTTCTGAAAAGCGTGCTAGAAGGTTTGGATTTTCCAACTAAGTTTATTGGTTGGATTATGGAATGAATCTCTACTTCTTCTTACTCCATTGCACTTAATGGTGGCCTATATGGCTTCTTTAAGTAAAGAAAAGGGCTTAGACAAGGTGATTTATTATCTCCATCCTTATTTGTGCTTTGTCTTGAATATTTTTTCGAGAATGTTGAAAGGTGATATTGAGAATATTGATTTTAATTATCACCCTAAATGTGGGCCGTTAAAGATTACCCATTCAGCATTTGCCGACGATTTGATGCTCTTTGCTCGGGGTGATTTCATTTCAGTTAGGATTTTGATGAATTGTCTTTCTAAGTTTGGAAATGTATCGGGACTTAGAATTAACGCTAGCAAATCTAGCTTGTATACTGCGGGTATTCATGGGAAACAAATGGAAGATATCATTGCAATGACCAACATTCCTAGAGGTTCTATGCCGTTTCATTATTTGTGTATCTCACTTGCGGGCAAGAGACTAAAAATCAGCTCATATGAAGTGCTTCTTGATAAAATTTCAATGTACATTTGTGCTTGGACAAGGTCTACACTTTCTTATATGGGTAGGGTGGAATTGGTTAGATCCGTGCTACTAGGTGTGGAATGTTTTTGGCTATCTATATTTCCCATTCCTTCTACGATAGTATCGAGGATTTTGAAGCTCTGTCGACATTTTCTTTAGGGTATTAAAAAGCTGTTGATTGCTTGGAGTACCATTTGCTTGCCGAAGGTGGAGGGTGGCCTTGGTTTTAGAGATATAAGAGGTTAGAATTCAGCTCTTCTAGCTAAAGCCCTTTGGAATATTCATGCTAAGAAAGATACATTATGGGTTAAATGGGTAAACCAAATCTACCTTCGAGGGAGGGATATTTTGGAGTGCACGACAAGGAAAAATGATTCTCCATTGCTTAAAAAAATGTTTGAAATGAGGGATACCATTGCTGGGAATGATAGAAATGGCCAGATTGCTGGAAATTTAATGACAAACTGGAATAATGCTGTAAAATTTTCTGTCCAAGCTGGCTGTCATTTCTTTAGGCCGAAGGGGGAGGTGAGGTGCTGGACTAGGGAGGTTTGGAGACCATTTATCACTCCAAAACATGCTTTTATCCTATGGTTGGGTGTTCAGTTGAAGCTACTTACAAAGGATAGGTTGCCATACCTTAACATTGACAAAAATTGTGCTTTTTGTGGGTCACATTTTGAAAATGGACAGTATCTATTTTTTCAATGTTCATTCACATCTAGTATATGGATGAGGATTAAAGATTGGATGGGGATTAGGAGATCGATGACTACAATTCCAAGTGCTTTGAAATGGATAAAAAAGGAGGCCCGAGAAACATTTTGGCAAAATAAAGCTAAAAGAATTACGCTTGCAAGCACCACTTACCATAGTTGGATGGAACATAATAGAAAGGTTTTTGAGAATCTTTGTCCACAAGTGAATAGCATTGTAAGACTTATTAAAACACGTGTATAAAGTTATGTTCGCTTTATACTTGCATATTTTGATTCATTATGAGTTGTTGGTTTTGGGACTATAGTTCTTATTGTTTGTACATCTATTCTTAGGATTGCTCGGGTATGCTCGAAGTAATTATATTTTACTTGTTGTCTAATTGGCCAGATACGTCCGGTGTACTTGTACATGATTTTGATCAATAGAATTTTACATTTATTGATTAAAATATATATATATATATATATAGTAGAAGTGATCAATGTAATGAGCCGTAGCAGCAAGATAACTTTTTTTTTTATTATCACCAGTCCATAAATCAAAGCTAAACGATATATCACTATTAAAAAATATGTTGTAAACGGGGATCGAGCATATTGGAAGAGAAACACGAAGGAAAGAGACATAATAAAATGACTACACGTGGAATTAGGAACGAGAGGACTCCTTATGTTCAAAAGGACGCATGACGGAGCAAGGCAATGAGAAAGAAAATGGTCGAATGAATCTTCTCAGAACCTCAATAAGATCTCTGATTGAGTTGACACGTATCATATTCCTTAGCCGAATAACGATCCACCATGATTCCACTAACTTGATCTTCTGAGTGGTGTTTTAGATGAGACTCCAGAGACTTGCCAGGCTTATTACAGAAGGACGATGAATCCAAACCATCAATAGTTCATCATTCTTAGTATTTGTAGTTTGATACGATTGTTGGAAGGGATAGTTAATCCCCAGAGTCTATATTTTATGTGAAAACGTTGGAGTTGGAGAGCCATGCCTTCAAATAGACGTGCAAGGCCTGAGCAATGTGACCCAGCCTTCGAACTTACAATAATCTTCTTCTATTACCCCATGGCAGGTAGGCATAGAGAGTGATCCAATGGGAAGTCTACTTTGATTCCTACGTTTTCATTGCTCTTCGACTCTTCATTTTCTCCTATTTCATTTTTGTCTTATTCGGAGCAGTAATAAGAAATTACCAAATTCTGTATCTAAGGCAAAGCAGTAACAAAATATATGATAATAGCCAGAGCAGCAATTATTTTACAACAAAGCATTGTCTACCTATACATAAGCAGAAATACCAACGAGAGTCTGCCACTTATTTATAACAATTAACTGGCAGATGAAGGTCATATTATCAAGGTTCTATTGTACTGAGCAACACATAATTAATTACATAAGGATGTTTAAACCTTCATACGACATACAGAAGGCATATATAAAGCATACCTCAACCTTGGACACCTTTGCGGCCCGGAAGATCAATCCATTCGATTTGAACCTCTACTTCACCACTTTCCACATTTCTCAATCTGAGAACCATGTCTTGAGTCATTTTTCCTTTGTTCCAAATAATACAACTCTCATCAGCTAGGCAGTTGTTCCTGCTTGGCTGAATTCTATCGACCTTGGTGCCATCTGGAAGGCCTTGCAATTCCATTCTCAGACACTCTATACAAGGTTTGATATCTATTTCTGCATTTCCCATGCTGTCATCCCTAGTAAAAGTGTCTTTATCGTACACATCCTGGAAAGTATAGTAAACAATCGGAATCGGTCATCAACTATGTCATGTATAGTCCCGGGTAAGGTTGTAAGGCATTACCATCTTCATGTATATTTATAGAACACAGTTAAAAAGGATTTTAAATTGCCTAAATCAAAGAAGAAAAGGTAGAACAAACTGATCTGTGTTACTGCTTCTATTTTTATACATATTTTTCAGAAAAATAGGGTGTCCCATTCACATGACACCATTAGAACATTGAATGACAAAGAAACATATGTTTTCCACTTACGGCGATAATCAGTCCACTTGGCAAAATAAAGAATTAATTTTGAAAATGAAACTTACTAGAACTATAGGTTCATTTGGATTCTTAATGGAGATAGTCAACTCCTCATCCCACAAAGGGTTGCAATTGTCTTTCACAACACGAGTTTTCACTTTCTGCAGTAATAGGTAGAGCATATATTAGGCTGCATTAAACATCAAAGCCTGAATTGCTTCAATTGAAGAGACTGAACCTGATAGCATGTTATCATTTCTGACTAGGTGTTTGCTTGAACAACCAATCAACACATCTATCACCTTAATAACCATTACAACAATGATCTTAACAGATTACAATGTTATGGAAGAAAGATGAATTTTAGCATTGCCACATATATCAAAGAGTGAACGAATATATCTTATGTATCATATAAATTTTGGCATTGCCATATGTGAAAGAGTGGATGAATATCTCTTATGTATCATATAAATTATGAATGTGCATCAAACTATTGTCCATATTAACCCAAGATTATGTTGGAAGCAAAACATTATCCCTTTACAAAAAAGAATCCTACTATTTTACATAAACAATTCCAGAATATATAAACATGGAATAAAACGACTGTCTTGTAACAAAAGTTGGAAGTTATTCCTACGGACCCAAAGAAAAACTAAACTGGCAGCTAGATATCAATCAGAGTGGCCGAGGCAATGCTATAACTATAAGCAACAACAAAGTAGGGGACGAGAAATCTAATCCATCAATTCGTTTTGTACAAAAATATCCTAATCGACTATCACCTTTTTTATGTATAGCTGTCAAGTGGAAGATCAATGGGGAAGAAAAGGGACCAGATCACACAGGAAGAAAACTGGAAAGAGGCAGCCAACGGAAATAACAGATACTTGAAAGGGGATGTGACGCCGTTTTAGCTTCATTCAAACGACAGCGTTTGGAGAGTTAGTTAAGTTTTAATTTTAAAACCGTTTTACGTTTTAAAATACACTCTGTAGGGGGAAGCAGATAAATACTGTGTAAAGGGTTTTGGAAATGTAGTTTTTGCAATTTGAAAAGTTCTGTGAATTTGCTGATCTTTTGAACAGCTTTCTCACCTCTTTCTTCTTTATTTCCACATTATTGCCATTCCCCATTCTATTTTCTATTTTGATTGGTTTCATATTCAGCTAACTCGGCTGGAATTATCCCATTTCTGTGGTGGTTGTGAAGTTGCTGGTGGAGTTCCGGCCTTGACAAAGCTGTATCAAAGCAAGCGTATTAATCTGGGTAATAGGTAGTCAAGGACACGACAGCTAAAGTGATGGATGAACACTTGAAGAAGTTGGACTTGAAAATGACAGATTTGGGTGCAGCCTTCAAGGCTGTCATTAGCAGATTGGAAGGAAAATTGGAGGCCACAGATCAAACTCTCCAAGTGTTTGGCCACAGACAGGAGAAGATCGAGGACACCGCATTGGACATGAACCAGAAGTATGAAAAGATGATGGTCATGATAGCACAAATAACATCTGATTTGAAGGCTAAACAGAAGAACAAAGGAGTGGAGGGATCATTGTCTAGCCAGGGATCTGGTAGTGGGTTGACGCTGCAATTGCCAAGAGATGGGTAACCATGTTAGGGGTGACTGCAGGGGAGGCACTAAGTTACCAAAAATCGATTTCCCTCACTTAGGGGGAGAAGGTCCCAGAGAGTAGTTGAGGAAGGCTAGGAAATACTTCCAACTCCACCAAACCTCCAATGAATTGAAGCTGGGAATTGCTGAAATGTATCTGAAGGGGAAGGCAGACATTTGGTTTGATGGTTTTATGGCAAGCCATCCCAATGTAGACTGGGGTGTATTTTCAGAGGAATTGTGTAGGAGATTTGCAGGAGAGGAAGTGATTGAAACCTTCAGCAAGATAAGGCAGGTGGGGTCCATCGCCGAATCACAGGTCAGGTAATACTAACCTTACCCCATGTCCCCGAATCCTACTACATATCTGTTTTCACAAGTGGGCTGAAGGGGGAAATAAGGTCTATGGTCAAGATGATGAAGCCCGATACCTTAGCTAAAGCTTTTGAAGTTGCAAGCCTCCAAGAGTCCACTATTTGGCCACACCAAGCTCCAAAAGCCCAAAAGTTTTGTACCTAATACAAGCAGATGGAGCTCTCACCCTACTAGATCCCCTGATGAAGTAAAACCCACTAAGATAGCATCCAAATCTAAGAGAATATCCAGCAACCATAAAACTATTACCCCAACTGACTTCCAAACCAAAAGGGACTTGGGGGTTTATGCTATAAATGTGTTGAAAATAAGCTAAATCAGAAGCTGGGGGCGAGATAATTTGGGCCATATCAAGTTACAAAGAAGGTTGGGACAGTGGTTTATCAATTGTCATTACCTGCGGGGTCCAAGATTCATCTGGTTTTCCATGTTTCTCTTTTGAAAAAGAAGTTGGGAGACAAAGCGATGCCTGTATCACAATTAGCAGCCGAACCTCAAGCTGTTCATCTAGCACACCAACCCTTATCCATCTTGCAAACTAGGCTGATCTTAAGAAGAAACCGTTCTGCTGCACATGGCTAATTCAGTGGACAGATGTTTCACCAGAATGTGCAACCTGGGAAGATGCAGAGTGGATTAAAGCCCAATTCCCTCCTTTCTATATCTTGGGGACAAGATCAAGGTGAGAGGAAGGTTGTCAAGTGGTAGATCAATGGGGAAGAAAAGGGACCAGATCACACAGGAAGAAAACTGGGAAGAGGCAACCAACAGAAATAACTGATATTTGATAGGGGATGTGATGCCATTTTAGCTTCATTTAAATGACAGAGTTTTGGAGAGTTAGTTAAATTTTAATTGTAAAACCATTTTATGTTTTAAAATCACACTTCATCACTGCAGAGGGAAGCGGATAATTACTGTGTAAAGGGTTTTGGAAATGCCCTTTTTGCAATCTAAAAAGTTATGTGAATTTGTTGATCTCTTCAACAGCTTTCTCACCTCTTTCTTTTTTATTTTCACATTATTCCCATTCCCCATTCTATTTTCTATTTTGATTGGTTTCATATTAAGCTAACTTGGCTGCTGGAGTTATCCCATTTCTGTGTTACGGTGGTTGTGAAGTCGCAGGTGGAGTTCCGACCGTGACAATAGCTCAAATCATGCTTAAAACATGTGTTCTCTACATGCCAATTGAGAGAAACAAAAATGTCATGTCCTCGTCCTTCCATATTTATGTTTTCTGCATCCTGCTACAGACTGATGCAGTGCCTATATCGGTTGCATTCATTAATGAAGTTGGAGTGCGGGGGGATGGAAGCCAGAGGACCAAGTACATTAATTTTTAGGATTTCAATGGAAAAGAGTAATAATCATGCCTTGAACTCGCATAGGGTTGTTCTCAATGAAAATTAAATTTGACATTGCTGCATCTGAGAAGTGATTGGATCTATACTAAAAAATAACACATACAAATCTAAATATACTAAAAAATAACACACACAAATCTAAATAAGATTCCTGTAGATACGGTAAAAATGTGAGAAGAACTTCTTATGTCTAGATAGTGCATCTGAATATTGCAATAACAGAATATTATCCAAGATGATCTGGGAAATACAATTATTGTCTTCTAGGATGAGACTTGTATCATTGTACAGAAATATACTAGTAATTTTATCAAGGAGTTCTAATGAGAATGTACGAAACAAAGGTTAAAGTTCTTTTCCAAGGGTTAAAAGAAAAATTCATGTAGCAAGGGGGCATATGTTAACTCTTTAACTCGAAGCTGAATGGAAGTAGGACAGCCTTGATTTGCACTCAGATAAACATTTTTTTTTTTTTTTTCAGGCAATTTAGATTACAGAGAATTGTTATGAATTTGACCTCCATAATGTAGTATAACCTCTATAAATTAATAACTTGGGACCATATAAATTTTATTAATTAAAAGAGATATTAATTAATCGACAATTTATTTAGCCCCTGTTTGATAGTCTTTTTTCAAAATTTTATTTTTCGACGCACTTATTTTTAACTAATAAAATATTTTGCATGTAAACCCAAAACCTTTTTCTAATTTTTAACCACACGTTCTCTAAAAATTCTCTATTCAAAACATTATTTTTGCGAAATAATGGCAATCAAACAGGGGTTTATTAATTTATAGATTATAATTCAACTATCATAAATTTATTAAGTTATAGAGTACAATTCAGCGATCATACATTTAATCAACTAAGTATTCATTGTCTTTTACCCATCTAATCAACTGAATATGAATTAATGTACTAAATATACATTAAGTTAACCAAAAAAATAAAAATAAAAATAAAAATAAAAATAAATAATAATAATAATAATAAAAAATTAAATTCATTGTAATTATGTACCAAAATAATATTCATAGTAATTGTGTTAATTTAATTAAATGTATAGTTACAACGGTTTCCATCTAAAAAAAGAATTGCAAAAATGGGTTTCTAAAAAATTCCACTTTAAAATTAGTTAAGGTACAATATTAAATACAGTCAAACAATCATCAAAGTATCTTTTATTTGACTTAGAAAACCGTGGTCATGCTAAGCGGCACAAACCATCTAAATTTCAAGATATGGAGAGGGTTATTTATGAGTGATTTCTTCAATGTCAAAATCACGTAAATATAACATGGGAGCTAATCTTGAAATGGCAAGAGGGATTATGAAAATATTAAACCTCGAAGGGACTTCAAAATTTAACTCCTCTCGAGGTTGTCTTGAGAAGTTCCAGTTAAGACTAACCCCTGAGGGGTAGCTCAATGGTCAGATTTTGAGTTTGCTTCCCAATGGTCACCAAGTTCGAATTCCTTCAGGGCCACTAAAATGAGCACCCGGTCATAAACTTCAGGGCCCCGTGGAATTAGTCGAGGTGCACGTAAGTTGGCCCGAGTACCAATGGTCATTAAAAAAAAAAAAAAAAAAAAAAAAAAAAGAGGTTCCAGTTAAGACTAGGTATTAAGTCATTTTGTAGTTTTGGGGAAAAAAAAATGATACACAAGAAATGGAGGAAAATTGGAGTCCACAAGGAAAAAAATACATCAGTTCACCTTGAAAGATATTTTTAATACAGATTAATCAGGATTGTTTTATAGGTTACCACATGATCACTCTATTGCAACAAAGCAAATAGAACGAAAAAAGCAAGACAAGGAAATGCTTACGATTGTTGTTTGTTGTAATGAGAATGGCTTAGAAAAATTCCTCTATATATCATCAGAAAGTAGGAAAAACCACGTTGCTTCAAGAATGTAAGAATGAACAACTTGAATTGCAGTACCAGTCCAATAAAAGATCATAGATGCTTGGGGTGCTTTTTGAGGAATATAATTGGTGGCTTGACAAAATGGAGAAAAATTGTCTTGGTGATAAATAATTGTCCAGCCCATCAAAAAAATAATGAAAGATTACAGGATGTTGGGCTATTTTTTTTGCCACACAAATGACATAAGAAATCCAACAATGTGATGCAGGGATGGTAAGAATCTATGAGCATATGTATTATTGTAGACGATTTAACAGGAGAATTTTGGAGGTCTATGACCTGGGCCAAACCAATCCAGAAAACATATATGTTTTGGATGCAATCAATTTTGTAGTCTCAACTTGGACAATAAATGCAGGCAAAAACAATAGCCGGCTTCAATGTATAAATATTTGTTCCTTGCCTTTTTTTTTTGCTTTAAATGTAACCCGATACCATAAATGCTCCATATGATACCTTTACTGATCCCTAGTAAACTTACTTAGTGCAAGTTCAGACCATATGCCTTTGAAGTTCATAATAACCTAACAAACCTAGATCATTTGCAATGTCATATGGAGGTTGCCTCTTGCCTCTGACTTTGAACCTCAACTCTCCATCTAGGAGGGGGAGGGGGAGGGGGGGGGTGAAGAAAAAAGAGAGAAATCTAGATTGCAAGCAATTTTGAAATCTGTTCATTTAACACATTTCAAATAGTGGAAAGAAGAAAACCTATAGTATTTTGAATCATATTGGCAGTAAAATGTTTCTTACACTTTCTGACAAGGACTCCTATATATATGCAGCATAAAATACTTCAATCTATAAAACTAAGCAAATCATGCATACACAAAAGAGTTGATCATGAGTAATTATCAAGTGGGGATTGTTAGGTTAAAAAAAGAAAAAAAGAAAAAAAAAGGAAGCGATAATTTAAAGATAATACCAAAGGGAGAAATCACAAATTTACGTGGTTTGGAAAACACGCCTACTTCAATGGAAGAGGAAGAACCAATTCACTAATCAAATCTTCAATTACTCTCGCAATCTCTCCTCTTCTACTCATTTTAGTTGTTAGTCGTGTTTGTATATCTCGAATTCTCCAATGTTCACAATCTTTTTATAAGAAGACTTCAGTTTACATTTTCTTTCAATTATTTTTTCCACCAAGATTTTCTTCTTTTCCTTCTTTTAAATTTTCAATTGCTATAATAAAAAAGAAATACGAGCAATGTTCCAACAGGATTTCCGGATGAAGATTCAAAGATGAAATTCCAATTGGCTAATGTTCCTTCAGTTCTCCATCAAACAGATACTATGCATCTGACTCAAAAATTTACCTATGCGGGAAAAATTAGGAATAAAGAAACGGGAGTAAAATGGCAAACCTGACCACTGTGGGTGATAACAACATAAGGATCACTGCTACATGTGTCACGAACAGCAAGATTGATGCCTCTGCGAACCCGAATTCTTAGAAGACCCAAAACATCATCCATTTTCCGAAAGAAAGAATTGGGTTGTGAAATCAAGTATTTATTTATACGTGGGAGAAAAAATTGCTCCGCAGGACCTAGATAATTAAGGAGAGCCGGATATCCAGAGTTGTGCGTTGAGGAGAATATATTAGCCTAGCAGTGACGTCAATTTGCTAGCAATCTTTGTCGCACATGCAAGTTGTTTGGGCCTTGGTCTCTTAAATTGCGTGGCTGCTACTTGCAAATGACTGTACTTGCTGTAGTGGTTTTAATCCATTTATTTCTCGTGCCAT